ATGCAATTGAAATTAATAAAGCCTAGAAAGCCATGCTATGTTCCATTATGATTCTAAAAAAAGCACAAACTGAAGTGGTTGCATTTGTGCTCGCAGTACCCCTCACACAGTAGTTGCATTTGTGCTCACAGTACCCCTCACACAGTAGGTGCATTTGTGCTCACAGTACCCCTCACACAGTAGGTGCATTCATCTTTGCATTTTGCCCATCTTTCTGGCCACCTTCTTGCTCGAAAGGCAGCCATCCAGCAGTGAACGAAAGAGAATAGCCACAGCACTGCCATGTGTACTCACACTTGAGATTAGTGCTACACCAGAGCCGCTTAACTGCCAGGATTGGCAGCTACTGCAGAAACCCCAGGCTAGCCAGACTGCAGAGACATATTGTGCTCCAAATGCGACCTTGAGGAACATCATAAAAGAATGTAAGCACCAGCTCCCAAGTGACCAACACAGGCTTTTCCTAGCTAACTCTTACATTTGAATTAACCCATATTTCTTATCTATTCTTTGCCACATGGCTTGGTAACTTTTCAATATGGCAAGCCCATCTTGATTCTCTCTGTATCTGGTGGTGACTCCTCTAACTCCGCCCTTCTTCCCATAATTCTCAGTTTGACTTTCCCATCTAACTTTATACTGTCCCGCTATTGGCCAGGAAAGTCAGCTTCTTTTAGACTCAGCCTCAGTGGCACATCCACACCAGAGAGCCACAGCCTTTTTACATGGCAGAGCTGTCGCACTCCTGAATTCATTACAGTTGTTAGTATCTTCACCAGACCTGCATAGGATTGGGCTCTCAACACTTTGTCCCAGATGGGAAGGCACCATCAGACCGCCACCTCTTCCTGAGGAACTATGTCAGTCAGTGGTGGCTGAAGGAGGGCATACTTCCTTCAGTGGCATAGCTGCTCAGAAGTTGCCCATGCTGCAGGAAGTAGCCTCCACCCATGCTCTTGCAAGCAAGCAGTTCTAATTAAACTTGGTGGGTCACACACAGAAGGCACAGAGGCAGAAGGGTGAACTTGTTGAGAGGAAGAAGGGTTTCGAAGGAAAAGGAGAGGGGTGACGGGGCAATGGGAGGCTGCGAAACGACTAGAATTTATTATGTATGAAGCCATGACAGAATAAAAAGTGGGGGGAAGAACGCAATGCTAAGGACACTTTTAGCTGTGGAAATATGTGCACCCGTCTAGCCATTTGTGGTTGGCATCTTCATTTAGCTAACCCGCTCGCCCCTGTGCACCCCTTCAAATGTCCTTATTCAGGGTTCCTTTTGAGGAGCACAGGTAACATTGAGAGGCTGTGAGGAAGCGTCTGCATTGGGCTGAGAGCAGGTGGGACAGCTTGCCAGGAGTCTGGCTGTCTGCGTTTGCTTGCCTTGTGTGTATCCTCAAGGGCTCTGCCACTTGGTGTGTCTGTGGCATTGAGGGTGAGCTGATTGAGAAAATGCTGATGGGTACCAGTGCAGTCCAACCTTCCCTGTTGGTGGCAGGCTTTGGAGAGCTGGGAGCAGGCCAAGAAGCACATCCCAAATGATGAGTAGGTCTCATCTTGTTTGCTGAGAAGAGTTTTCAGCTGCAGGTGACTGGGAGCAGTTTGAATACATCAATTCCTGCAGTCCCAGACTCTTGCTGGCTCTGGCTAGCAGAAGGTGGGGGTGGGATGGGGCGGGGTGGGGAGGAAATGGAAATTGACATTGTAGAATATCTTGGGTGTGGTAAGGAAAGCGTTAGACACTTGCCTTTGGAAATAGGTAATACAGTTCTCCCAGAGGAATTAATTTTGTTAACCTTGGTTGACCTATAGATAAACATAGATAAATGGTAGATAGCATTTGGAATATGTAGATCATTCTCCCAGGCTTACTTGTGTTTAAGAGTATTGCAGTGGAGACGACATTGTCTTTGTTTATAATCTGACTATGTGTTCTGTTAAAGATTTTACATTATTTGGTGCCATTTACTGCTCTGGTAATTGGTGTAATTATATGTAAGTTATATGTAGTCTGGTAAGGAGGTAAATTATATGTAGTCTGGTAAGGAGGTAAAGGCAGTTGGCACCAAGGTTTGAACCTGGGGACCCACATAGTGAAAGGGTAGAACAACTCCTTCACATTGTTCTCTGACCTTGACGTGTACTCCCCCTCAATAAATGTAAAAGTTACATAGAAACATACAAACATTTAACTTACAGAAAGAGTACAGTGTGGCTGGTAAAGCTTTGTGTGAGATGAGGCACAGGCTGAGCTGGTAGAGGAGAGACCCAAAATGCAGTAAGAGCATAGGTTCAAGTGTGCTCCTGCCATGCTTAAGGGTTGGTAGGTAGTCAAGGGCGGCAGAGTGGTCTGCTTTTCCTGGTGTATTGCTTCTGTCTGTGTCTAAGCATTTTCTCTAGTTTGTAACGTCACATAACCAGTGGAAACGGTTGCCTGTCTCATGTGTGCTTACATCTCATTTGGTGAGAACTTGGATACACGGCCATATCTAGTGTGGCAGTCATGGGACTAATCATAGATATTTGAGTTCTTTTTCCTTTGGGCACTGGCCCGGTTTCATTTCTGTCACTGTGACGAAGGATCCTTATAAAAAGTAACAGAGGGAAGAGTTTGTCTTAACTTAGAGTTCCAGGTCACACTCCATAATTCCAGGGGAGTCGCACCAGCAGGAGACTGAAAAACAAATGCACCTATGCTGTCTGCTGTTCACTTGCTTGTATTCAGCTTTATTCTCAGAGAGCTCAGGGCCCAGTCCATAAAATGTACCACCCATGATGGGTTAGGTCCTCCTACATCAGTTGACAGTTCCCACATGCATGGCCACAGGCCAACCCGATCTAGACAATCCCCTATTACAGCTCTTCCTGGGCAGTGTAGGTTGTGGCAAGTTGACCTTTAAAACTAAACATTACAGGCACATTCAGATCTATTTCCTTTTAAATCCACTTGTGGGTGTGTGACTTGCTTGAGGAGCCAGTGAAATGAATTGAAAGGCTTTCTGATTTTCAGAAGGTAGACCAGTGGTTTAAATAGGCACCGTGTGAAAAGAAACAGAGAGGACAGATACAGGTACTCTTTTAGTTTGCAGCCAACAAATGGGGACAGCTGGCAGAAGATCCTAGCTGTGTGTGCAGTTGTCATCACCATCGTCACCCTCCTCCTCGTTCACCTTGTCCTCCTCCTCTTTCTTCGTTTTTCACACAGAGTCATTTGTGTAGCCCTGGCAGATAGTGTCTTAGGGTTTCTGTTGCTGTGATAAAACACTGTGACAAGGCAACTTACAGAAGAAAGGGTTCCATAGGGCCAGTGATGGCGGAGTGGAGGTAGCAAGTTCAGGCAGCCAGAACAGAGCTGAGAGCCGAAGCACAGTGACACACCTCTGCCAACAGGGCCACAGTTCCTAATCTTTCCCCAAGGGTTCCACCTATGGGGACCAAGTGTTCAAATATTTGAGCCTTTGGGGGCCATTCCTATGCACAGGTGGTAAGTCAGATCAGACACAATCCAACATAGCAGCCAAGGGGAGCTTTGCAGTTTGTATTATTACTGTGGGTATAGTGTGTGGTGTGTGAGGAGATCAGTGAACCACTCTGTGGAGCTGGTTCTTAAAAGAGAGCTTGTAGGGAAAGACAATACATTGCTTTTCTGCCAAAAAACGCAAACCAGGCCAAAGAACTGGTAAAGCCAAGTCCTCAGAGTGACATCTTCCTGTGTTCCTTCCCGTGTCCGTGTTCCGCCCTGTTCCACTCTTTTGCAGGCTATTGTAGCCACTTTGCCATCCAGCAGGCATTCCAGTCTTGGCGCTTTGGTGGTTGTCTCCTTTCTGCTACAGTCTATGTGCCTCACTGTCTTCTGTCTGTTGCCTTTCAGTGGTACTTTCCATTGCAGTGAGCATGGAGACTGCTTACACTTGCACTCCTCCTCTGATACCATTAACCCCTCTACCCTGTTCCCCCTGACATCACTTTCCACTACCTGAACAATTGTGTAGCTCATGTATTTACTTACTTGACTGCTGTGTGAAAGGCAGATTTTTAATTTAATTTTTTGAGATGGTGTCTTACTCTGTACCCAGTGTGGCCTGGAGCTTGGAGTAACCATTTTCCCCTAGCCTCCCAAGTCCTGGATTTACAGGCACATGGCACTGCACCTGGCTTGGGGGTGTTGATTATATTTTGTTGGCACGAGTGGAAGCAGATGATGTGCACACATCAACTAAGGGACGAGGGTATGGAGAGATGGGCAGATAAGACAAGTATACATCGGCACAGTCAGAGAGAGGCAGGGAGAGAGGGGGAGAGAGAGAGGGGGAGAGAGAGAGAGTGAGAGGGAGGGCGAGAGAGAGAGAGGGAGAGAGAGAGCGAGAGAGAGAGAGGGAGAGAGAGCGAGCGAGAGAGAGAGAGAGAGAGAGAGAGAGAGGGGGGGAGAGAGAGAGGGAGAGAGAGAGCGAGAGAGAGAGAGGGAGAGAGAGCGAGCGAGAGAGAGTGAGAGAGTGAGAGAGAGAGAGAGAGGGGGGGAGAGAGAGAGAGGGAGAGAGAGAGAGATGGAGACTGAGAGGGAGAGGGAGAGGGAGAGAGGGAGCAAGATAGGGAGATGACGGGAGGCGGGGGAGACAGGGAGAGAGAGGGCAGACAGTTTTAGGGAGCTGCTGGTGGAGTGTACTCTCGCTCGTTTCCAACAGTTATGTAAAAAGGATGAGGATGCCCGGGGGCAGGAGAAAGGGATTTTCAGTTTTGAGAAGAGCAGAGAAAGTGGCAAAGCCTTGGAAAGTAGAAAACTTTGCAGGTGTGATAGAAGATTTCAGGAAGGGAGAATGCATAATTGTTGGTTGTGCTGTTGTGAAATAGAATGTGTTTTCTAATCAGAATTTAGCAGTGTTATAAAGGCAGTGAAGGGCTGTGGCATGAAGTGGTTAATGTTTAAACAGTGGTATCTCTCTGAGCAACATTCTCTTTGCAGTTGACACAGAATCCGTACTGATGGAGAGTAATGTTCTTTTTAGCCTTACTAATAGTTCTCGGGTTGTGGGACTCCTGGCTCAGCTGGAGAAGATCAACACGGATTCTTCAGAGCCAGATACTGCCAGATATGTTACATCCAAAATTCTTCATTTGGCGCAGAGTCAAGGTAAACTGGGCTCCCTTTTTGGTTTTGAGATACTTTTTCCATCCTTTAAAAGTAGATACTAAGAATGTTCTGGTGTTTGATATGAGAAATATTCCCATTTTTGATAACTGGATGGTTTTCTGTATAAATGGGCCTTTCTTAGGTTGACTTATAGAAGTAGGAAACTGAATGACTTTGGAGGGAATTGATTTTCAGTGCAGCTGTTTAGATTTGATCCCTGATCAGATGCCGAGAAACAGATTATGGAGGAAATACATGTTCTGGCTGTGCTGCAAGGCCACAGGTCATGGTCGGCTTGCACTGCTATCTCTGGCCTTTAGGAGACACAACCATGGTGGTAAGAGGTGGGGGGGTCTGTCCCACATGCATGGACACCCCCTCATTTTATTTTGTCCAAAGTCCCAGTGTGTTAGGTAGAGCTGCCTGCACTCTCCACTTAGTTACATGCATGCCAGGCGTCCCAGGCCAGAGTAGCCATCACTAATCACCGAGACATACTTTGTGCCTAATTCCCAAAGAAGATCCTAACTCTACAATTCTGTCTGTCACAACATCATGAGGCCTTGTAAAACCACACCCACTACAGTTTCTTCCCCAGGTCTCAACAGTTCCAGCATTGCTCTCAAGTCTGAGCCTGAAGGCTCTTGACTCAGACTCTTGGATGTGAGCCACAATAAGACCCACAGAAACCCACTTGCATCTAGTACACAGTGATGGACAGTGTTTGCTTCCCTTCCCGTCAAACTGCTGAACTCTGATGATCCATGCCTGACAAATGGGACCTGTGCTGGCGTGACGTGAGCTCCCTAGGGCCTGGATCACCCTGTCCCTGGAGTGGCCCAGCTGCAGCCCATCGGGCTTCTTCCCCATGGGGCTCCAATTTCTGCTTGTAGATTTCCTCTTCAGGTGTCCATGATTCCGCCATCTCCATCTCCATACATCTCTCTGGTCCTGAGAACACTTACTGAAAAGGCTGACAAATTGGAGCACAGGAATGGCATTTTTTGCAAAGGGGCTAAGACACTATGGTGTTTATTTTTCAATCTTCATGTCTTTTTGGTTTTTTGAGACAGGGTTTCTCTGTGTAACCACCCTGGCTGTCCTGGGACTCACTTTGTAGACTAGACTGGCTTGGATCTCACCCATCTCCCTCTTCTTCCAAGTGCTGGGATTAAAGGCATATGGCACTACTGCCTGGGAAAAGTTTGGTGTTTAAACGAATTTCCCATATGAATTTCAGAGTCTCCTGAGATCATGGGAAAACCTGGAGTAGAATGGAAAACTGTTAGCTTAATACTTTGTTTTCATTTAGTGTCTAGAATTACAAGGTGATGGTACACATTGTGAGGAGTTAGAGGCTGCACTGGACTGTGCTTCCACACACAGAGATTTCCACTGTTTGCATCCAACAGTGCAGTGGCTCATTAGTGATCAGAGCTCCCTGTGGTCTGAGGATATCTAACGTTAGTATCAAAAGTGACTTGGTTATACTGAGGCACCATCCTTACGTTCTATACCAAGGATGGCTCTTTGAAACAGTATTTTGTTTTCTTGTAAGACCTAATATTTTTGGTGGGGACAGCTGGGCTGAGTAAAAGATAGTTTGGATTGCCAAAGCAATGTATACTAAAAAAAAAAAAAAAAAGAATTTCAGTTTATGAACGTGTATGACATTTATGGAGATGTCTGGTTTGGCTTCTTCAAGTTGTGACAGTTATATGGACTGGGCATGAGATGATGGAGGTGACTGTTAAGGACAGTTGCACAACTGTTTGGTGTATACAATAACTGTCACAAACGGTGTTACACTGAGATCTTTGCATACATTTGTCCCTCTAATGATTCCCATGTGAGAGCATCTCCCCTGAGCAAACATGGGCCATGATAGGAAGCAGAACTAAATTCTAAAGAAAACACTCAGAGTAGAACTTAAATTAAGTTTTAAAAAATCAACACAAAAGAAGGCGGTAGAGGGAGAGATGAATGTGAGAGACTTGAAGCCCTCAGGGAAGGGTGTGGTGTTCGTCTTTCTCACCCCTTCAGTCGATGTTTTCCTGTCATGCAGGCCTCTAACCCTCAGCTCCCTTGACAATCTCCATGTGAAACACAGAATTTAGTCCTCCTGTCTCTGATCCTTAATTGTAGAGGATATACCACGTTGAGGGTGGATCCCTTGTCTTCCTTTTTTCAGATCTCAGAATGTTGAGATTAATGTCATGGTCCCCACATTAACAGACTTCTGACATTAATACCCAAGTCTGGAAAAGTAGGAAGGGCTCCAAACCTCCAAATGCAATGCTGGTGTCAAAGAATGATCCCCGTTCCTCTGGGAAGTCTGCAGAGTGCTTAGCGGCCCTGAGAGTCACCTTGTCTGCCTCATTCATTCACTGGATGACGTGATACAGACCCCTTCTCAGCCCTCCTGTTCCGTGGCAGAGACTAATGATGAGGGTGCAATGCATGCGATGGGAGGGCTTGGTTCTTGTTAAGCACAGTAGCTCCTGTGAATCAAAGAATTGTGATGAAGATGCAGGGACTTGTGAGTAAACACAAGTATTTGCACAGTTCCCATCCCAGTGGTAAGGACAGTCATTGCTATGGTGGCTTCAGCTTCTCACAGTGTAGCCCTTCCTTAGGTGGTTCACTCTTGTGATTCAGACTTTTAATTAGAATTAATGCAGTGGAAATTTTGACGGTGGCCCTAGATTTCTGCTATCACTCATTTTGATGAGCTGTTTTTCAGTTCTGCTCATAATGATTAAAAAAAAAAAAGCCTTCCATCATAATTTCTACTTCCATAACAACTCACTGCTAGTTCTAACTTTAAGATTTTTGGAAGGATTGATGGGGACTTACCATAGTCCATGATATTTAAGAAGAGAAAGTCTCATTAATAGAAAATGGAATCACATCCACAGTATAGAATTAGTAGCATTAGAGGGATTAACATCCAAGAGTCAGCTTACATTGTTTACAGTGTCATCTGTATGTAACAAACTGTTATGGTTTTTTTGTTTTTTGTTTTTTTTGGTTCACATTTAAAGAAATTATTTTTTATCTTTCAGAAAAAACAAGGAGGGAAATGACAACCAAAGGTTCTACAGGCATAGAAGTTCTGTTGTCAACATTAGAGGTATGTTAGTGATCCAGCTGTCACAGGAAGAGTGTCGGAGTTATTAACACACTCACGCACGCATGCATGCACACACTCACGCACACACACACTCACACAGGCACACACAGGCACGCACACACGCACACACAGAGCTGGAGGGATATTGAAATGAGCATACACATGTGAGAGCACTATTATGTGTTATGTAAACATATATTTCCCAATGGTTAAAATAACTAAAATTTCATGTTAGATATTTTAAACAATTTGTTATTATTGTGTATGTGCAGTAAGGCACACCTGCCATGGCACATGTGGGCGCCAAAGGACAGTGTGGTGGCATTGGTCCTCCCCCCGCCTTTATGTGGGCTCTGAGGGTCAGGGCTCCCAGGCTGGTGCAGCAAGCGCCTCTCCCTGCAGAGCCATCTGGCTGGCCTTGAATTTTGTCTTTTTTTTTTTTTTAGTAAAGAACTTATTATTATTATTATTATTATTATTATTATTATTATTATTATTATTGTCTTTGTGTATGCTACATGTGTGGGGATGCCTGTGGAGGCCATTGGTTCCCCGGAAGCTGTAGTCACAGATGGTTGTGAGTGCATCATCCTGGGCTGGGCCTGGGCCGTTCCCCATGTGTCCAGGCCAAGAGTGTAACCCTTCACGTGGGATGGGCTCTCAAAGTCCCTTCTTGCACCAGGGAACAATACTAATCCACTACCAGGGGTATTATTTTAATTATATGTGCGTATCTGTGTGTATGGGCGTGTGAGAGTGGGTACCATGGAGGTTGGAGGTGCTGGGTCCCTTGCAGCTGGAGGTCTGGGGGCTTGTGGGCTGCTCAGTGTGTTGTGAGCTGCTCAGTGTGGTGCCCAGCAGGTTAAAGCTCTTGCTGCTGGAGCTGGTTACCTCAGGTCAAGTCCCAGGATCCACATGGGAGAGGAGAGAATCCATGTGTGCAAGTTGTCCCAGGAACTCCATGCCTACCTCTACATACAGAAATAAGTAACTGTCAGAAAAATGATGAAGATAGTGAAGTTTTAATAAAAGTATAGAAGTCAATACAATTGTGCCTAAAGAAATTAGAAAGGTCATTTGTTAGACATAGGTAGTTACCAGCAGGTTAAAACATTTGAAATAAAGAAAATAGTGTTTTAATAAAGCAAATCAACTGTTTGTTTCAGAACACGAAAGATCTTCAAACTATACTTAATATCCTAAGCATTCTTGTGGAGTTGGTATCTTCTGGTGAGTTTTGATTTACTTTGTGCTTGTAAATAGTGACCAGCTTTGTGTCCTATGTACTTTATTTAATGTTTCTTGACATTAAAATTTTAGAAATGAAACATCATGAGCTTGTTGCTCCCTGTGTCAGGGCGTGGGGAATATGTGTATGCCGGAAGGAAGGCTTGGAATGTTGGACTTTGCTACTCTCTACCTTATTCCCTTGAGCAGGGTCTGAATCCAGAACTTAAGGTTTTCAGCCTGATGGTTAGCCAGCATGTCCCATTGACCTTCCTGTCCTGTCCACAGCTTATTATTCGGGTAGCTGGGATTGCCTTACGACTGCACAGCAGGCTCTTACCCACTGAGCCATCTCTCCAGGGCAGTGCTTTCTTTTCAGTGTCCTCAGACACTTCTCAAATTATCCTTGCCTACTTATATAGCACTTATATAGCACCTTGAGCCTAGAGTGTTGGTATCATTTGTGTTATTTTTTTGTATGCTGCATTTTAGATAAAAAACTGGAACAGAACAAAATAGGAGCTGAGTATGGTGGCACATGCCTGTCTTTCCAGCATTTGCAAGCCTGGTGCAGAGAGAACACAAATTTTAAGGCGGATTTGGGCTATAATGGGATCCTGTAACCAAAACACAAAATATGATTTTGATAGTATTTAGTTTTAGAAATTAATGATTGGATTGAAACTTTTTTTGAATGCTAACTAATTATGATGCCCACTGTGGGAGGATGTGCTGATATCTATATATATATATATATATATATATATATATATATATAT